TCTCTCTCTCTTTCTCTCTCTCTTTCTCTCTCTCTTTCTTTTTTCTCTCTTTCTTTCTCTCTGTGCTACTGAAAGGATGCTTGAAGAAAGATTCCTGCCATCTTCTTTCTTCTAATCACAAAATTCAAGATATTCTGCACAATAAAATTGCTAAAACTAAGTAAACAAAAAAGACTTTCCAAACAAGAAGATTGCTATCTTCTGCAACCTGAGGCAAATCCCCTATAACCTGCCTGTCCCTTCTGGGCTTTCACTCTGAGGCTCCTCTTCTGCCTCAGAGCTCTGTTTCTTCCAGTGTCAGGTCTGAATCATCTAGAGTTTATTTAGAGAACAAGATAGTTTGGCTCCTAACAAACAAGTCATGCTGTATCTACAGTCTGATGCAACAGCCATTCCTGAAAGACTGGAAATCCTTACAGAGATGGACCTTACCGGTGCTCTCAGCACATAACACTCTTTCTGTTTTTGTAGCTTTTGGCTATAGACAAAACACAGCTTGTTAAAAAAATAAAATGAAATATGATCTGAAAAATGTCTGACATTGTTTAATCTCTTTTCCTTCTATTCTTACAACTGGCTAGCACAAATGACACAGAAGACTTGTCCTATCCTTTGTGTTCTGAAGGTATAGAATTATTCAGATACAAAACCTTTCCCGAAGGGTTTCTCAAGATTTGTGTGACACATCATCATACCTGTTCTGCTAATACAAAAGGCCTAATTTGTTCTGAAGTGAGTTCCTCCTCTTCTTCCCACTAGATTTATATTATTCCTCCCTTTTTTATCAATAATATGTCCAGAAATGTCAGGTTTGCCACATTAGGACCGTTTTCTCCAACAAATCCTGGTGCAGTAAATGTGAACATTATTCCTTCTCTCTCCTATGGACAAATGATGCTCAAGCCATATGGCAATCCTACAAGAACACCTGTTAAACACAAAAACAGAACGAAAGAGATAAGAAATAAATAAATAATAGGAATATCTGCTACAGGATTAAAGAAAAAATCAGAGAAAATATAGCTTTTGTGGCTTTTTAAATGATGAAGACTTAAAGACGTCTACTCCAGGGGATACCTTCCACTGTTTGTCTGAGAGACATAAATCCAGTCACATAGCCAGAAAAAAACAGATCTTCATAATCACAAATGTACTCTCTTGTGAC